AGACTTGTCAAAAGTTGTTCCAGTTCAGCTGTGGAGCCAAGAGAAATAAGGCAGAGCCTGAGCTGTCTGTTTGATTTCCCCACTGCCATTATTTGCAGAAATTAGGTGTCCTCGGTGATGGTGGCCCAGGCCCTCCCCACTTTGTGAGGCAGGACCAGAGATGTGCACATGATTCCTCTGAGCTGTGCCTCAACACTGAAATCATACAAGAAAGGGAGCACCCATGGCAAATCAAACACATCCAGATTTGGGGACATTGCCTCCCTGCACTCTGACCGGACAAAAACCGTCCTTGTGTTGTCCTTTCCCAAGTCGGGGGATTGTAATATCGCTGCAGATGTAGACATGGCAGTGCTCAGAGCACTTTTGCCATTGCACGCTTTAAGAGATTTGATGTAGAGTCTGTTAAACTTGGCTGGTAATGTGCTTAGACTCTGTGCAGATAAAGTTGCCTTGGTGTGATACCTCTTTGCTCCCCTGACACACACTCTTTAGCTTTGCAGAGTGTGGTTTAAAACAAAAATTTTAAAAATGCAACTTTGGCTGTGCAACCTGTGCAGGAAATGTGTATAGAAACCGTCTGCGCAGGAAATACCTACAAAGGGAAGCTGGGGGAGGGAGTGAAGCCGGGCAGACCTGGGTTCTTCTCCCAGCGCATGTGCAGCTTCCCTTCAACTTCTGTTGGCTGTCTTTGTTTTGCTTCCTAGGCCCCACATGTTACAGATGTCCTTAATGAGGGTTTGTCAGCTTTCCACCACACTGGAGCCTTGTCATGGCTCTTCTCCTCCGAAGCAGAAACCTGCAGCCGTGGCTTAAGCCAAACAGAGCCGGAGCTCAGGAAACCACGGGGCTGTTCTGAAAGCCTGCCTCAGAGGAGAGCCCTAGGTTTCTGAGTTGAACTAGGACTGAATCAGTAATATAAGCATTAAGCTGAATCTCTTTCCTTAGAGGCCTTGTCTCTTCATCTCCCCTATTGCTCCCGAGAAGCTGATGAAGTGGGAGTGCCTCATGGCACTGTCTCCCTCACACCACCGGAGCTCACTGCATGGGGATTTTCAGCCTGGGCTGAAAGGGTACAGGGAAGGAAAGAACAGTGATGTCTGAGGAGCATCCACCAGAGAGGGATCAGGACAGGAGCAGACAGGATAGGAGATGGGCCAGATAGGGGCACACTGGCCATCACCTCCTTTCTGCCCCACACAGGGACAGCTGTTGGTCCAGGGACAGCTGCTGCTTGACTGACTGCAGCACAGTGTCATGGGGCCATTCCCATGGTGGGTACAGCAGGAAAGGACAAATAGAAGCAAAGGAGCTACAGGGGAAAAAAAAGTCAAAAAAAAAAAAAAAAGCAAAGAAACAGAAAACACAATAACTATCTCCCCCGTGAAAATCTTCACAATTCAGTGTCCTGCTGCAGGGTTATTGCCTCGACTCATCTCACGCATTTGCCAGCAGCATTTTCTGCTTTCAACAAGTGACTTTGAAATATGCCACCATTTCAAGTGGGAAGGCAGAAAGATGGGAACTGCCTCGTTCCCTTTTCTACTCCGGGTTCAACAGAGGGCTGAGACGCAAAGCACAAAGCAGGGTATCTTCACACCTCCACTTGACCTGGGCCATTCAGCCACTGCAGCCAGGCTGCAGCTTCGCCTTGTACATGGAGATGGCTCTGCCAAACACCCTTCACCTCCCAGCTTGCAGAAATAACACCTTCCTCAGTTCTTTCTCCTCCGTTGATCAGTGTGAAGTGACAGCAGCAAGTGGCTGTGCTTTCACAAGTATGGGCTCCAAGGCTGCTCTAGGAAAAGAGCTTAATCACCTCTTGCATGTCTCTTGAATCAGGGACATCTCTCAAGCCCAGCAGCTTCAAAGACACATCCCCTGCACTCTATCAAAACAACATTCAGAAAGCAGCTTGAATTTCTTCCAGCTGGCCTCATGTTACAGAGATCCCTATCAGCACCTGGGAGGAAAGAATTAGCAAGAAAAACAACTGTCTCTTTAAACTGCTGAGAGAAAAAAAAAAAAAAAAAAAAAATCTAAGAAAATGGCCATGTAAAACACATAGATTTAGCCCAATAATGTCCAACCAGTGCAATCTTTTCCTAAAATTGTTTGAGGTAGAAAGCAGCCTAATGGTTGGATTTTCTTGTATCAGCCAGAGACTTTGAACACTAATAGCAGAGCTTTACCAAAGCCAGGTGCTCTTGCACAGGTACTGCCTGTATCACCTCCCTCCTGCCATTTGCAGTGAGCTGGGCCCTCCTAGGCAGAGTGCTAACACGGCAGGAGCACGTGCTGTGGAAGCAGAGGTCAGCAGAGCAGACAGCCCAACACACTGGAATTTCAAAGGCACCCACATGGCTCTCCTTGCCAACCCAGCCAGCCACCGCCAGGGATTTCTTGTGACTCTTTCCTCAGCAAAGCACCACAGTCGCAGACATTTCCCTTTTAGTGGGAGATGAAGCAGTCGGGCTCAGGGTGAGCAGTGGGAGAGCCTGGAACAGTCAGCTCCCTTAGCAGCAGAGCTTCCCACACTCAAAGCTCTCCCCAGTCTCCACGGGTCCCTTTTGTTGTGGTTTGCTGAGCTGCTTCCTCCTGCACAGCTGTCCCACACCCTGCCCAACCCTGCAGCCATCCTCAGCATCGCTCCTTTGGTGCACGGACCGACTCACTGGCACACAAACAACTCCTTTGAAAGAACAGATACCCTCCATTTCAAAGAGCAAAGTCTGCAGCTGGGGAAAACTGGCAGAGGACACAAACTGAATTTGTTTTCGCTCTGTGCTCCCTGTGGTTCCTCGCACAAAGGGAGGAGAGCCCTGCAGCACGAGATGGGGCTTGGGGACCAGAACTTGGTGCCTTTGCATGTTAGAAATCATTTCCGTTAGCAAGCCTTACAAGTGCTGTCTCTGTTGGATCATCAGCGGATACAAGAGTTGCACTCGATGATCCTTATGTGTCCCTTCCAACTTGGATTGTTCTGTGATTCTGTGTTTCTGCATTTGGGATCCCACAGTGCTGTTTTTCTGTCTTTCCTAATACTGTCTCCCCTCAATTCAGACTGCTGATGGGCCCAGCTTCGTGCTGGCTCACCTCCAAGGAGGGCATTATATTATGCCATCACTTCTTGTGCTGTTCTTTTATCTGGCAAATTTTCATTATGATTGGGAAAAAATCGCATCCATCATGGTTATTTAGCTATTACTCACAACTGTCTTCCCTTCCTATACCTAAATACAAAGGTGGATAAACACACAGGCAGATATGAGAATGAAAAGAGAATGAGAGAGAAGGAGCAATTCATGGTGATTACTGACCCAAATCAAGTCAGAAAGGGTGAGGAATTGCACTGAGCTGCACCAATTTACACCTTCTGAGATACTGACTTGCCCTGGCAGTAAAACATTTCTAATTACCTGAACTCAGCATACTGTCTGCTTGGATTTAGTGTGCAGTTAAGGGAAAATTCACAAGATGCAATTAAAGCAGAACTTACAGACTGATGTTTCAGCTTCTGAGAGTCAAAAAGGTGAGCTTGAGCACATGTAACTTCAGAGACAAACCTGATTTTCCCCTCTTGCTGGGAAGATGCACATAACAGTGAGTGGGGCTTTCTTCAATTTGCTCTGTCCTGTGTGTATTTAAGATAACCCTTTTTTCCAGAATTTCATTTAGCTACTCATACCACAAACACAAGGACAGGTGGCCACCAGATCCAACTCAATTCTGTATGCTGGATTTCAAGCTCAGAAATTCATCTGGTTCTAGTAAAACATAGTCTGAAACCTGCCTGATGTTTAACCCAACCAGAGAGTTGTATTAAATTTCTAAGCCTTCCCAATCCTCACAGGAGATTGAGAAGGCATTTTTAGAAAGGAGTTGATTAGGAGTTTAATTATCAGATATCAAAACCCATTCTGTTGCTGAGGTCTCAGTGGAGAACGGCATTTTTAATGGGAGACTCCAATTCTGTTTGTTTCTTCTTGAAATTCAGTGTCCGGACCTCAGCGGTGCATGCTCGGTCATGGCAATTTGAGCTGTTTTCCCATGGCTTCTTCTCATTCCTCTTCTCATCAGATCTCACTGCCATTAGCTGTGGGGTAGCAGGGCTCAGAACCTCAAGCGTGCCCTGTTCTAAGGAGCTGCTGTTGCACAGAGAGGACAAGCAAGCCGTTCTTCAGGGCCAAGGATGATGGAAGAGGACTTTGAGGCTCCACCAGACATTTGCACTTCTGCAGAATGGCACGTCCATGGGCGTGCAGGTGTCCAGGAGCATCAGAGCCACAGCAAAGCCACGGCAAAGGCCTCACCCCGTGTCCTCAAATCCTCTGTCCTTGAAGCTGACACGGTGATCATTTCACCCTCTTCAGAAACACCCGGCTATTTTATCCCTCATGCCACAGTCTGTTAGAGTTGTGTATACCGCCGCATCAAATGCTGTTGCTTCTATTTGCATAACTGTGGCATGGGGATGGCTGGCTGGAAACCAAAAACCACTCCAAATGGCACAGAGGCGACAGCCATCTGTGTCTTTTTCACATTCGGTTTCATTGTTTTAGGATCGGATCCAACCGCTGCAACCTACAGTAACTCTAGACTTGTCAAGCCTCGGAGCTCTCCTTATAGCACGATCTGTGGTTTCACTGTGGAGAAGCAAACCTGGAAAAAAAAACTTGTTGGACTGAATCAGAAGTATTTTAGTTAGTGCAGCAGGAGCTGCCAGTGGTGAAAATAGCACTCCAGAGCATGAATGAACGGAATGGTGTTCCCTTCTGCGCACGTCAGACAATTTGAGCCTCACTCAGCGTTACGGGTGTGCTGGGCAGTGTTCTCTCGAGATGTATTTCCATTGCCACGTCATAAATATAAATGTTCTTTATGAGATACCCGTGGACAGAAGGAATCTAGTGTTTGCTAAAGGTTTTCTTGATGATGTGCATTGAAAGCCTTCCTGTTTGGCATTAATTAACACAATGTACTATGTTGCAATTTCCCAGCACAGACTTATCCAGACTCCTGCTAGGAATTGGAATTGGCATCGAGCAACACCCACGCCTCCACCCAGACCAGAACCCACCGAGATGTTCCTCCCTCAGATGAAGCTCGTGTGTCACTCACAACCCATGGCAGAGGACATGCAGGGGCTTGGAGCAGGTACAATTTTTGTCAATACAAAACCAAGCCATTTCTATCAGACCTGAGACTGGGACCTTCGAGGAGCTCTCCCTTGTGTCCCCAGTGCCCAGTGCCTTTGGCTGGGGGCAGTGATACCCTCTTGGTTTGGTGTGTGCTGTGGTATTTCTGATGGCTAGATTCTGCCCTTGCTAACAGCCAAGAGAGAAGGGGATATGTGTGATTTTCCTGCTTGCTTTATCCTTTCTAGAACATCTAGCTATGTCTGAAAAGCACTTGCTGTCAGCCCCAAGCTGCAGGGATAATTTAATGTTGTGCCAACCAAACTGCCAAATGGTGAAAACTTTTGACTTGTGTGTGTCAGTAGTGTTTCAGAGAGCACACCTTAACATAGCTGAATAGCCTCGAAACTACCCAACTTTCTCCTTCTGCTCAGACATCCCACCACAGTTAGGCTGAACCATTCCTTGGCTCCCAAGCTCCCTGTATCGGCCTGAGGGTGATTCTCCCACTGACTCTGGTGCACTCAGCCCTTCCCAGCACCACGCTTTCTGCATCCTCAGGGCTGTTACAGACAGGTCTCTGTGTACCCGTTCATCTTTTTTACACCAGCAGCCTTCCTTCGCATCCATTTCTTTTTTAACACAGAAATACATTTGTTGCAAATAGATGCCAGCAGCTCTCAGTGCCAAGAAGATTCAGTGCTCCTTCTGCTTGCTCTGTTTTCCAGTGAACTGTATCAATTTTTGCTTGTTTCCCCATGACCTTTGGAGCCCATTCAAAGTCATCTTCCTTTTGCTTTGCTTTAAGTTCAATCCCATGCATGTTGCCAGCTGATTTGTTGCCTGTTTTCACACGTCGCCAGCAAATCACCACCTCTTCATATTGTTTAGACAGTCATCAAATATAGGCCTGCCAGCAGTCTTTGTTAATGGAATAGGAAGTCTTGGTACATCTCACTCATGTGGCCTGAAAGGAACCAGAAAGCTGTTTGATTCCAGCTGACAAATCTTTAAAGTCCAGTGTGGGACTTTCATGGCCAGAGCAGGGTCACTGAGCAAAGACTTTTGGTCTACTGATATGGATCCAAGCTCTGCCTATCTGTCTCCTGATACAGATCGTGCTTCAGCATGCTGGAATTTTGTCCTTCAAATTGTGCCAGAGGTTTGGCTTGTGCTAGCTTTGGCTGGAGACAGTTTGTATCATGGAGCCGGGTGGGTCTTTCCAGCTCCTCTCCTAAGCTGGTCCCAGTTACAGGCAGATGGGATCGCTGGAAGGTGAGGGGGCTGGTGGCTTGTAGCTCCGTCTATCCTTGCAGCATCAGATCAGCAAGAGCCAGGGTGGACATAGGAGCTCCAGGTAGGGTGCAAAGACCACAGAGCATGCTCAGGCTCAGCTCCAGCACCACACAGCCTGCAAAGTGCTGTTCCCGTGCTTGGAAGGCTCCGCCATTTTCACATACTCCTCAGAGAAATATATTAAGGCTGGTTTGTGGTACAGATTAGTTGAATACTGATTGATCCAGGTGGCTCGGTTAAAAACAAGATTTCTTGTGATTCAAGACTAATTATTTCCTTCCAGAGGACAGTTGGAATGGGAAGATGTAGCATGGTTAACCAAAATCCAGACTCATCTGGGCTCCTTGGGCATCTCCTACTGCCTCATTCGGGACCTGAGGTATGTATTTATTTCTGGGAGCACAAACATGGTGCAAAATTATTCAGGCTGTATTTTCTGCATATGGTACATTGAATCTCTAGAGGAAATGGTTTAAAGAGGCATGCTTAGTGGTCAGATAGGACCGATACTTTTACATAGCACAGTGGGTGCAGTGTACTTCAAAGGTTCCCTGCACCTTTAGGGCTTTCCACTGAGGTTCCTCTTTTTTTTTGGGTACCTTCCCACAAATCACCACCCATGCAATAGAGAGCTTTACTCAAGCTCAGCAGCAGCACTTGCCAAGGCTTTGCATGTTGCACTGAGATCTGCTCTGCTACCAGCATCCCTGATGCCAAGTCCACCCACACGGCCTCCTGCCACCCAAGGAATGAATTGTGGTGACACCACAGCTGGGGGCTGCAGACAGGAGAGGACAGCCATCACATGGCCCAGGGAACACAGCACAGCCCCACATTTACAGCGTGCTCCAGGCACATCTCAAGCTCCTTGTGAAAGGCCAAGGAAAAAGGTGCCACCAGACCCTGGGGCCAGAAGGCCAGGCCCATCTCTTGCTATTCCAGTGCCCACATGTGGCCAAGTTCTGAATCTTCTCTTCTTTGCCTTCTCCCATCCAAGCACAGGGCAAGCTTTTTGCAAAGAAAACAAGTGTCCTCTGCTGGCCGCAAATAAAAAATGCATGTGGCGATGCTCTGCCTAGGGATAGCACTGGGTAAGGATGTGTTGTGTGGAGTTTGCAATCTGACTTGTTTTACAGATGGACAGTAATCCAACCACGAATTGGAGCTAAGCTGGTCGCTTGCAGTGCAGACAAAGGAGGGTTGTCAGGGAGTCTGTGCCTTTAGGCTTTGTGTACTGGGCAGAGTGCAGCCCTTCTCCATAAGCAGTTCCCCAGTACAGCCTGAATGAGGCATAAGATGGTGGGGGCTGGTAGGGGCAGAGCAGAGAGGGGCAAGAGATTGGAGCTGCCCGAGGTGCAGGGGCAGAGGAGCTCTCCACCAGCATGAAGCACATTTGGGGCAGTCTTTGCAAAAAGGACATGAGAGAAGGGGCCAGCGTGTGCTTGTGCTCTGTGTTTCTGAAATAATCCGTCAGAGATCAATGGGGTTTCACATCTTTTCCCATCTGTTCTTAATCTGTTCACTTGGCAGATGCCAAACCACCATACCCTGTATGGGAAAACACAAAACAAAACACAAAGCCTTCTATCTCTCCTAGTTTTATTCAGAACCATTCTCTGAAGCCCAGCTCTGCCCACACCCCAGCCATGCATGGAGACCCACGGAGGAGCCTGCAGCAGGAACAGCTCTGCCTTCAGCAAGCCCAGAGAAGGGGTTTGTGTCTGATGGAGCAGCTTTGTGTTCATGCAACCCAGTGACTTCAGGCTGGTGATTCTCTTCTGCTGACACCCCTCTGATGCCAAGAATCCTCCACCGACATCTCAGCCCTATTATTCCAAGCACCAGAGGCTTGCACAGCATCAGTCCCAGCCAGGAGATGTGCCGACAGAAGGGATCTGCCTCACAAAAGGGCACAGACCAGCAGTAGGGCCAAGGCAAAGCAGCACGCTGGGCCCCCGGTGACTCCTGCCTTTTGCTCGTGCATCCTTTCCTCCTATCTTTATTTCAGAGTTCATCACTGCAAAATCTGCTGAGGACATGAGCAACAGCGTTTTAATGGCATCCATGAATACTTTATTTAAGGCAGAGACTCAGTGACTGCAGCACTGTCATTATCAGTGGCTGGACCAAACCATAATAAATAATACAGGATTACTCCCAGCATCTAAAAATATCCTAACCTAAGCTGTTCCCATCCTCATCCCATCAATTGGAAGGGCTGAGTGTTTGCCACGGCTTATACAGTAAATGCAGTTTAACTTTCTTCTTTCCAAATGCTGAAAACCGGCTCTTTTCGGGACGCTTCAATGTAATTTACAGCTGTATTACCAGCTCCTTAATGGTTGCCAGGTTCTCTGGGCTCCTTTGAAATCGAACACGATAAAAAGATGAGAGCCAAAACTGACCACAAGTTTTGTGTCTGCAGGTTCCCATGTGCCTTTCTGGTCTTCTCAGCAAGCTAATGGAAACAATCCTGTAACTTCAAGGCAGAACGATGAGGTTTTAGAATTCCCCTGACTGGTAATGAGAGAGTTGATACAGCTTAACAGCAGGCAAGTGCCAGTGCATCCCTGTGTCTCAGTATTACTGCTAGTCTAAGGTAAGAGGGGGCTGTGAACACCACAGCATGCCCTGCTTTGTTCTGACGCAGCTCTGCACTCCCTTGGACCTATGTCAGTTTAATCAGTGAACACAGCCTGTGCCTCTCCAGCTTGGCAAAGGCAGGACTTGGGGTGAAGGAGTTCTCCTCAGCCAACCTGGTGCATTCTGCCAGTGACTCCCAACTCCCTGAAACTTCAAGAAGAAGATCAGCACAGTGAAACACAGTATTTTTAAATGTCCTCACAGCAGTCATCATCATAAAAGCACAAACCTGAGGTTTGTAAAAGTCTAGCAATAAAACCACAGACATCTTTACAGCTCCCAGACATGCAGTGCTCCTCAGCAGCAAGCACAAACCCTCCCAGAAGCAAGGAACAAAACTAACTGGGGAACAGGCCTAATTATTTTACAGCCTAGGAAAAAGGAAAAGAAAAAAGAAAAAAAAAGCCACACATGACACCAATTTGCAGGTCAGTACCAGCCACTATCAGGGAAGTGGAAACAAAACCTGTTTGTTTTTTCTCACCTGGAGGCAACAGAGCACTGAGTTGTGTAGAGGCAGAATGCTGCACCTCTAGGCTAGAGTGTGTTTTCAATTCACAGTGCACACTCAGATCCTGTGCTGTTTTCCGATTGTTTAAACCCATTTTCTTTGCAAAGCAGATTACAGGCATCTGTACTTCCCTAGCTAGCAGTAAGCCTGTTCTGTTCCATGGGAATAGAGATCGTTTCTTTCAAAATGTGAGGCAAGCCCTCCAGCAGTGTAGCTCAGCTTCCCAGTGTGCTCTGGCAGGTTATTTAATATTTCCATGCCTTGAATCTCCCATCTGCAAAATGAGTGCTGCGTTCCTCCCTCCCTCTGTCCAACAAGGTATAAAGCTCTGCTGGGTGGGCACAGGCACTGGCTGCCCAGGGAGGTGGCGGATCACCATCCCCAGAGGTGGTCAGGAACCATGGGGATGTGGCACTGAGGGACGTGCTCAGTGTGCACGGTGGGGGTGGGCTGGGGGATCGTAAACGTCTTTTCCAGCCTTGATGATGCTATGATTCCATGACCTGAGCTGGTGGTGGGACTGTGCACAGAGCCACGGTGACTCAGTGGGGTGCCGAACACTCAGCAGGGTTACAACACAGTGGTTGGGGGAGGGTTTTCTGGACCCCCTGCTGTAGTTTTGCAGTTCTTCTGCGCTTGAATTCACTGAGGTGCAGGCAGGATTTTGTGCTGTCTGCCTGCTTGTACCCTGTGGGGAAGAGAGCATCAGCTCCAGCTCTTGCTGGGATGATGGTACTGATTCAGCTATTGACAGCTCCAGTGCCTCCTCTCTTCCTCTGCCATGGAAATGAACCCATGTGGTAGCAGTGATGGGAAATTACTCAGAGAGAAAAAAAAGCTCTGTGTTAGCCAGGCAAATACTCCAGAATAAACACAGCCTCAGCCTAGTACCGTACAGCTGTCAGGTCCCATTGCAGGAGGTTTCTTGATGCTGATGATTTAACAATTCTCTGGCCCAAGGGTGCATCTCCCACTGAGAATCTGTTCCTCCAGAGCCACTCCATCACTGACCAGAAAGGAAGCAATCACAGATTTGTGTGTGAATGTATGCAGTGAGAGTTACTGCATGGTAACAGCTACAGCACATCCAGCAGGTCGGACAGAATGCAGGTGGTTGTGTGTCCATACTGTGCTCCCTGAACACAGGGGTCACTGCCCTTTACCCTGCTGATCTCCAATAGAATGCAATGGGCAGAGCCTGGGCATGCACACAAGCATCTGTCAGTGACTGCTGATAGATTTTGCTGTTGTTGTTTTTGCAAAAGCTTTAAACATGACATGCAGATGTCACAGGTCTTCTTTTGCCCCGGAAAAAAATCCACTTGGTCTTCTGTTAGTGACCCGAGGTTTGGGCTCTGTGTCTTGTGGACTGACTGAGCTCAGCTGTTCAACTGAAGAGCTTTTGGAAAGCAGATTTGGACCCTGATGACACATCTTCTGATTGAAACAGGAGCCCTGGCTCCTGCGAAAGGCCCATGATATAACTGAAAGGTGGGAAGTGCTTCACACTGTTAGGAAATGTGCAGTCACCGTCCTGGCTTACATCCACCTGCTGAGTTAGTGCTGAAAAATAATGGATTGTTCAAACGCGTGGTTGGTGGGTGGAGATAAGGAGCCGACCCAGCAAAGGGCTGCTGCCTCCTCGCAGCCACAGCAACGCTTTGCATTCGGGCAGCAGGTCAGTTCACGCGCACATTTAATGAATAAGGCCAGCGCGCACTCGGTGTTCTGGTCAATGCATGTCAAGCATGCAAAGCCCTTCCGGCCATCCGCTGCTGCAGGGAGCAGTTTGCTACTTCCAGAGCAAGGCCAGGCAGATCTATTGGAGCCGCTGCTAAAAACTGAAAGCAAACACCGATGCTCACAGCGCCCCGCTAGAGAGCACAGCACCGCTGTGCCAGCAGCGCTGAGCTGCGGGACCGCGTGCCGGCCGTCCCTACCGCACCGCTGCGCGGGGGCCGCTCCGTCCCGTCGCAGAACCGGTGCGGCGGGAAGGGATCTCTAAACCCCACGGAGCAGCTCCCGAACGCGCCACGCACGAGGAGGGGCCCGCCCAGCTCAGGCCGCCGCACGTGGTCCTGCAGCAAACAGCGCAGAGACACGGCGCGCGCGCAGGGCGCGGATCCCAGCCTCGCTCTCGGTCGCGCCGCTCAGCCGCGCTTCACGCGGAGGACTTGCGGGAACGCGTGCGCACGTGAGCTGTCGGGAGCCGCTCCGAACGCGCAGACGGCTTGTACGTGCACGTGCCGCCCCCCGCAGACGCGCCCCCCCCAAACGGTGCGCGCGGTGCACGCACAGCTCGCTCCCGGCGCGCGGGGCGGGCGCGCGCCCTCCCGGAGCGGGCGTGGCCACGGCAACGGCCGCCGGCGGCGCTGACCCGCGTCGCCATAGCGACGGGCCGGGCTGCCGCAACCGCACCTGCGCCTGCGCCGACGCCCCCGTACCTCTCACCCCCCCCGCGGCCGGTGGGCGAGCGGCGGCCCTGCGGGGCTCGGCGAGGCGATGAGCGGGTAGCGGCGGTCCGAGGGCTCCTCGGAAGGCCGAGAGCAGGTGAGGGGCCGCGGACGAGGAGACGCGGTGCGGCGCGCGTCCCCGCCCGGCCGAGGGGCAGCGGGTCGCCCCGGCGACGCCCGCAGGGGTGGCGGCCCCTCGATGCCGCGCCGCACGGCGGAACCGACGGGGGCGGGGCCGGGCGGCGGAGGGCCGGGGCGGGGGTGATCTGCATTGCGGGGTTGGGGCGCGCCGGGTGGCCGCGCCGAGCGGGGCCGGTGCGGTGCGGACGGATCGGATGCGGCTGCGAACGCGGCGCCGGTCTGCCGTGTAGCTCGCCCGTAGGCGAAGGTAATCGTCTCGGCTTTGTTGGGAGCGAGGCTCGGCGCTCCGGATCCCGGCGCTCGGGCCGCTTCACGCTTGGCGAACCCTTTGGGGCGCGCCCGTGGCTGCGTGCGGGGGATTCGAGTCCCGGCGCGGCGCGGTGCCGGCTGCCGACGGAGCGAATGTGGATTCGGCGCAGCTCCGCGCCCTTTGCTTTCCGCCCTCCCCTCGCTCCGCTCGCTGTGTCTGCGCGGTTCCTCCCCGTTCCCTTCCAAAAAGACGGAGGTCTCCCGAGCGGCCCGGAGCTGCGTGCAGTCCTCAGCCCCGTCCTTGTTGAGGTCGTTGTCGCTGAGTTTAATTGCGTTCCTTAAAGCTGCGCCCTTTATTTCAGATCCCAGGTAGAACTGCACGCTTTTAGGGCTTTCAGACCAATTTTCTTTAATGCGTTTTATCATTTCACGGACAAAAATCAACCTGCGGTGTGTGCTCGAAGGCTGCAGGTATTGAGGGCAATGTGTTCATTCGGGTCTGCTGCATTATTGGGTTCTCTAACAGCAGAACAAAAACTCCCCGGCGCTGTTATTCCAGAACCTGGGGCGTAATGCACACCAAAATATGTCCTGAGCGTTACAAGCAGTGTAGTAGAAGATACACAGTTGCAGTGATCGAGTTTGAAGCTTTACTTCCAGTACTATTGGGCTCCAGTGCTATTCTTCCTGGATTAAGAAACTGTTCTAAAGCAGCAAAATATTCAAGGATTGCTTTTGTATCCTTGAGTTCGGCAGTGCCTTGCGATGCTCCCTGGGTAAAGGGAACGTTTACGTAATTCACCCCTTTGGTCAAGTTCCCGTCTCACCTCATTTCTCACAGTAAGGAGAGAAAGGAATGTAACGAGTGGCGCTGGCTTGGCACAGAGAACTGATAGCTTCATTTGTCTGCAGCGTTCCAATGCTTACCAATGGCTCACAGGTGACAGCAGCTAACACCGAGGGGCTTTTATGAGCCGCAGTTCACTGAAAGACCAGCGTATGGGATCTGTGTCTGAAGGAGATGGGTGTGCTCTGGCCGGACACAGCACTGATTGTCGGTTTATTGCTGCCGTGGTTTAAAAAACAAACGGAAAGGGAAGGCTGAAGGACTTTGGTGCTGAAAAAGGCAGTGGCACAAGGCTGGGCTCCGTGCGGCCTGGTTCACGGTGCTTTGCTGCAGAACGCAGCGAAAGAGAGCAGCATGGAGAGCAGGTTGTGTGCCTGTGTGCCTTCTGCAGTGCTGCCAGCCGTGGCGGGGTGCTGCAGTGAGCTGTGCTGGCTGAGCTGCGCTGCCCGGAGCTGCAGTGCTGTTGGCCATAGCCTGCCCTGAGTGCACGGTGCTGCACTGCCAAGCCGGCAGCGATGTGGGACGTGCTCCTGTATGGGTGCTGGAGGCTGAGCTTCCCTCTGGTTGCTTCGCTTGTTGGTAGGAGCCAGCCTCCCTGATACATTTGTGTTGTCTACAGTGAACGGGTGCCTCGTTTGTCTCTGTGTTCATTTTTTAATGATTTGGTTCTCTAACAGCAGAACAAAAACTCCCCAGTGCTGTTATTCCAGAACCTGGGAAGTGTTGTCTTGCAGTAAGTGAGGGCATCCAGCAGTGCTACAATGGGTGTTGGTCAGGATCTGTGTGATCAGTGAATAACTTTGGTGATGCTTTCCCAGCTCGTTTCTCCTGGGGGTGTTAAAAGGGGTGATAATAGAAATGGGAGCAGTACCTTGGTTTGCTGCTAGAAGCGTCCATCTGTGTGGGAAGAACACATGAATTGTGTCAGCAGTGGCAGGGCTCCTTGATGATGGAGGTGTGCATGTTTGTCACGTGTTTGATTGCTCCTTGCTCCTCGTGAAGGTGCAGTGGAGCTCTGTTTTTCTGGTTTTTCATTCTCCTGGATCCTTGTGAGGGCATCAGGTGCCCACATCTGTAACTGTCTCGGTGTTCTGTGTGTGCAGTCAGACTTGGTATCCTTGCTTACAGGTGGGTGCACAGACAAGTAATCGCTGCCACTGCATTCCCTGCAGCAGCTCTCAAACCTTTGCTGCAGCCCATTTTCACGTTTCGTTGTTGTTCTAAGGCCGTGGCTGTGCAGTGCATGGCATGCTGAGGGCAGGGCCGTGTGCAGGTCTGAGAGCCCAGCTGTGGGAAGTAGTGCCTGGTGAGAGGGGCTCCATCCAGTGCACAGAGCACTGAGGGGTGACTGTAAATCTGAACTTGTGCAATAGGAGGGAATGGGGCTGTGCTACTGCTGGGGCTGCACCAGTAGGAAAAATGTGGCATAGGGCTGGCTCTAGGGGGCAAAGCAAATGCCTGTGCAGGATAGCAGAGCTTGAGCTGACTGTGGAGAGAGAGACTGCGTGGTTTCCTTCAGGACGTCCTTTGAAATAAGCTGAACAAACACTATTGGGATGGCATAAGTGTGTGGAGATGGGAGAGCTGATCTAAGCAAAGAACAGCTAAGTGTCTGTTGGTTGGCGTTTTGTTGTTAGGGATACATTTAGGAATGTTTGGTCGGTTCAATATAAGGTTCTTCCAAGAGAACTTATGTCCTTAATTGGTTCTGGAGGTTGTGTTTTGTGCTGCATACAGAAAGCATTCTGGCAGATTTTGTCACGTTCCAAGGGAGTGATGGCTGGGTAGCAGTGGAGAGGAAGATCATAGCCTGCCCGTATCTGCTGGCAGGGAGCTGAGGTGGCTTCCCAGGTGACAGTCACCCCGTCTGGTTTGTGCAGTGGATACCAAGTGGGTGGCTTTAATGACTACAGTCACTTGGGCTTCGTTCCAGTGGTTTCCTTTAGGCTGTGTCTAAAACCATAGATGAGCATCTTCTGGCTCTTCCCTTGCAGTGGGGCATAGGTGTGCTCTGACCTTGTGCCCAGCACCGAGCACAGCCCCGAAATAACACTCACTTCACTGATGTATTTGGAACTCCATCCATGTGCCTACGATCAGAAAAGGCCCACAGCCTGCTTGGCTTCTGCAAGGCAAGATTTGTCTGTTGAAAAGCTAGCAGTTGTTTGTGATGAGCGTGTGATGAAGTTGGGCCTTGGAGTCTCTTGTTCATAGGCTTAATCTGAGCTGCCTCCAGATCTACATCTGCAGCTATAGCTAGAGATGTTTTGTGATGGTTGTGATGCTGGGAAATGAGAAATAGTGCATGTGCAAGGATGGAATGCAGCATACCATACAAATAAAGCTTGGGAAGCGGGCTTTGGTGCTGGCCTCACTTTGTAAGGAGAGGGCTGTGTTACTGTTGTGGTGTCAGACAGCACTCTGCCCCTTTTAATGCTTTGTCATCTTTATCCAATGACACATGCATCCCTGGCTGCTGTTTGCCAGGTAGGGATGGCGGCTCAATGTGGCAGCTCTGCACCACGTGATACTTTTTGTATAAGAACATCATAAAATAAATGAAAAAGCACTGAAGAGGAAGGAGGAAAAACCATGGTGACAGAGCTGTTCTGTGGTGTATGCAGTCACAGCTTTCTTTCCAGCATTGGCTTAATCTGTCTCATGAAATCCAGCCAGGAGTTGGTTGCTTTGAAATCTGTCCCACTGATTTCCATGGTGAGGGTGAAGATTGCTCATCTGGGCTGCTAAGGACTTGGCTGACACCTGCATTTTTACTCCTTAAATTCACTTCTTGATTGTAGCCAGTGCACATTCACTACGGTTTGGAAGAGCAGGAGTTTATTGCAATCCTGAAACTGCATTTTAGCAGTCCCTGTTAGCACGGTGTTTCATGGAGGGGACACCAGCAGTGTTCCATCTGTGGAGCTCCTGCTCTGGGTGTGCTGGGTATGGCCATGCTGAGGACCATTCCCTCCTAGGTCAGCCGGGCTGCTGGCCTGTTTCACTGTGCATCCTGCCTCTGTCTCCAGTCATCCTGTGTCCAATTTGGCTGTATTATCTGTAGGGCACGTGATGCCATTCTAGGAAGAGGAGTATATTCTCAGTAGCTGGCTTCTGCTTTGTTAGTTTGGCCTGCTCTCTAGTTAGGTACTGGCTACAAAGTTCCTATGGGGGAAAAATAAGAGGTGGGGAAAACGCATGTGATGCACTGGTGTGTGAGAGCTGTGCAGACTGCGGTGTGAGTGCTTCTGCAGCTTAGAAGGAAATTCCTAGTGCACAAATGAGGGAGGAAAAGCACTGGAGCTGCTGTCCATGAATGTTGTGCTGTGGCTGCACCATGGGGCACTTCCCTTCCACATCACCTCTGCCATGGCTGTGGGCGGCCTGGGGGAATGCCAGCCCTGTGATCTCCATCAGAAGGGAGGGAGGGACCTCTGCTTACGGAGGGGCTGCAGCTGAAACTCATCAGAGCGGATTGGTTTAATTGCGCTCACTGATTAACTTACCAGTGCTGCAGGGGAAATGATGCTCTGGTGCTGATCATTTTTATCTTCTGCCTTCGCCAGTAAAGCTAGCCTGCCTCTGATTATTTTCCTTCGGACTAGGTAATCCTGGTGTGGTCTTTAAAATGCAAGAAACCAAACTGAAAATGGAAAAATAGATGAAGAGATTAACAGTGACAGTCTGTTTTGCTTTTTCTCACATTGGAAGTTAAAAGGTTAAAAATAAGTGTATTTTTGAGGAGTCGAGTTGTAAATACTTCTCATTTTTGTTTGTTGCTAGGGATGAATTTGCTGTCTGTTGAGGTGACAGAGACACCAAACCTGGCAATGCTGAGTAACCACTGGTAGTGAAGGTCTCAGAGTGCCACATATAGGCTGCTTGGTTACTTAGTGCTGCTGCTGCTCAGTGTTTGTCAGGAAATACATTTGATAAACATCCCTTTGAGCCTTGGTGTTCTGTGCACTCTCGGCTCCTGCCCTGCTGACGGCACTCGCTCTGAAGCTGGTTCTGTCCTGCTGTCACTCTCATTTCCATGGAATTGGGAAGGCTGCGTGCAGACATGTTTGTGTCAAGACTTACAGCCCTGATAAAACATCAAAAGTTCCTTTTGTAATGGAAGATGTACAGTTAAAGCAGGGCTGTGTTATCTTTATAAATGACAGAAGCATGTTGCTTTCTCGGGGTGTGTGTTCTACTTATTTTAAATGTGTAGAATGAAATTTGTGTCTTACAACTACACACCACAAAGAGCACAATGGAAAACATTTTACGTACCAATATGAACCAATTAAGGTTGTCTGTGTCTCCTGCCAGGGAACAGAATTAAGATATGTCTCTTGCACAGCATGGGGTTCCACAGTTGTACACGGTTGTCCAGGCAGTGAGAATCTCTGTAATCTAAATAATGCAACTGCTTTTACAGAACTTACAGAACTTAAATAACCGAATAGGGCCTTAGTAGTGACATGGCAAAGCAAAGCCTCAGCTGTGCTGAACCCAGCATTGCCTCCTGTCTCCTTGCTGGATGCCGTGGCTCCCGGCAGCACTCAGTATCACCGGCTGCTCCCACAGACCTGTCCTTGCTGCTCCTGGGAGGAGGCTGCTGTGCTGCGTGCTGCCCTGGGGAGGATGGCATTTCTCCCCCCGATGGCTGTGAGATTCCCATCCATTATGTGCTGCTGCCCATCGCTCTGGCTCTCCAGAACTTGCCCGTTCTGCAAGTTTACTGTTTAAATGACATGTTCTGCTTGGCCCCCATCTTACTCACTGTGTCACTGCGGCCTGTGTGCCAGGCTCTGGTGGCGTGGGGACTGCACTAATGCTGGCTGGAGCACAGTGAGGAAATGCAATAGCAGGCAGCAGCAGCCAGAGAGCTCTCCTCCCAGTGCAGTGTGCGTGGCTGCACTCAGCTGCATTAAGGATCCCTTGTTTTGTATTTCTCTGTAGTGACGGTGCAATTTAGTCCTTTCTCCTGTGTTATTGTCCAGGGAAGTTTCTAATTCCTGTATCCCCGGAGGTAAATGGAAAACCCCCAGCTAGACAGAGGCATTATGGCCCGTTTCTCAGAACTCTACTTTTATCTTATAACAGGATTAGTGACTTTGTCTGAAGTTAATCCTTTAAATGTGTTAACTCCAAAAAAATGAGTTCCCTATGCTGCTCTGGCCTAGAGTTAAATTAGGCTGTCTGAAATGAGAGTACTTCCGATTGAAATAGCATGAAACAGGAAAACCTTTCACTTTTGAGGCACTTGCTTGGTTACATATTAATTCATTAACAGTATAATTCAGCTGTTTGTCTTGAACCAGGTTGCAGAGTGAGAGTCTTTATATCTATCTGCAAGTGAAGTCATTGATACAATTCTACCTCTTGTTCACTGGCAGAGTAACTGCATGCCAGGATGGCAACTTCAAACCTGGAGAATCAGCTGCACAGTGCCCAGAAGAACCTCTTGTTTCTCCAGAGAGAACACGCCAGCACCCTGAAGGGCCTGCATGCCGAGATCCGGCGCCTGCAGCAGCACTGCACAGGTAGCTGGCAGGGCGCTGGGTCACTGCTTGCCTCTTCTCACAAGGATGGGGGAACTGCTGTAGAGCCCATCACAGTGTATCTTTTGGATTTATGTATCTCAGGGCATGACAAGTGTGATCGTTAAGCAGTGATTTTATTATTATTATTATTTTAAAAAAAAATAAAAGCCTGTTACCTTCTTGTTCTGGTTGCTTAAGATTTGATAACTGGCAGTGCATCTCCTGTTATTTTAAATGTGCTTACTGAGTGGCTTATATGTTGCTGTCCTAAAAAAAGTAACTATTTATTTCCCTCAGACCTAACCTATGAGCTGACTGTGAAGAGTTCAGACTTGTCAGGTAAGGAATACATAGCATTTTTCTTTGATGTTCACATTAAATTGCCTCATGTTTTATTTTCTCTGTTACAAGTAGGTGAGAATACTTTGCAAGTGGGATATTGTTGGCTATAAATTCAAATGGTGTAAGAGTAGCTTTCTCCTTTTCAGAATCATTGTTATTGATGAAGTAAATGTCGTAAGTGTTAAATATTTACAGGCTGGTTAGGCCTGGTTCCATGGCTAATGGGGCAGGGACCCACAACCCAGAGGGGAAAGGGTAGGGAGATGGGCCTAAAAAGATGGAGATGGGCTTCTTATTGGAGAAATTCAGGCTGCAGATCTCTTCTGAGCAGCTGGGAAAGTGTCCAGCTGTAATAACTAGAGACATCACCCTATGGTGGGGTCAGCCTGTCCCTGAGGGCATGCCCTCACCAGTGCAAGATCCCCTAGCTTGAGTGATGCGTAGCGTTCTTGTGAAGAGAAGGCAGGCAGGCTCAGACACCTGAGCCCCAGAGAGACTTCTACAGCAGCAAGGAGAACCCACTCTGCCTCCAGAGTCACAGGCTTCAGCCATCTGTGAATGGCCAAAGCTAAAGCTTCAGCCTCTCTTGGTAAGCTGAGACAGCTGTTCCATCATGCTCACCAGCCACCTGGCATTAACTGGGGGAGAAGTTCTTCTTAATGACCAGAAAATTTGCAAGATAGCTCCAATCTGGAGCAAGTTCTGCAAGAATAATTTCTGTAATCCCTGTTCTCAATGCATGAAGCATCTTTTAAACTATAGTGAGTGGCACTAACTCCTCACCTTTTCCAGTAAAAGCCATCCTGCTGCTTCTGAAGATGAAGCAGTTGCTACAGTATTGGCAGAGGTTGGTCTTTGGGCTCTTCTATGGCTTTGGAATGCCAAAAAGAACCCTGCTGCAGCATTTTTCTTAGTGGCTATCGTTAACTTGGAAATGCTTCTGCTTTTCCTGTTCTTCTAGGAAGCATTAGTTCAAGAAGTGATGAACTCAAAAGAAAGTGTGAAGATCTTGAAGCTCAGCTGAAAGCCAAAGAGGCTGAAAATAATGAATTATTGAAAGAACTTGAACAAAAGAATGCAATGATAATGGTGCTGGAAAACACCATTAAAGAAAGAGAAAAGAAGTATTTGGAAGAGTTGAAAATGAAAAGCCATAAGCTCAATATGCTGTCCAGTGAACTAGAGCAGAGAGCAAGCACGATCGCTTATTTAACTTCTCAGCTGCACGCTACTAAGAAGAAGCTGCTGAGTTCAAGTGGGACTTCGGAGGGGACCCCTTCAGGCAGTCCAGTGTTGTCCAGCTATAAGCCAGCCCCTCCCAAAGACAAACTGCCCGAGACTCCACGGCGCAGAATGAAGAAGAGTTTGTCAACACCGCTCAACCCGGAGTTCGAAGAGGCCTACAGAATAGGGTCGGATAGTCGCAAGCTGCTGTTAAGGGAGCACGTGGATGCCATGCCTGATCCCACTCCGTTTCTGTTGGCCAGAGAAACGTCGGAGGTCCACCTCATTAAGGAGAGGCCGCTGGTTATTCCACCCATCGCTTCGGATCGAGCAGCCGGCGAATCGCACAGCCCAGCGCGAGAGAAGCCGCACAAGGCGCACGTCGGAGTGGCGCATCGCATCCACCACGCTGCGCCCCCCCAGCCTCAGGCAGAGGTTGAAACGCTGGCGGTGGATCAGGTCAACGGAAGCAAGGTGGTCAGAAAGCACTCAGGGACGGACAGAACTGTTTGAGTCAAATCACTGCTGCCCTGTTCTGTCGCTGTTTATGCACTGTGATCCCATAGGATAAATAGCACCTGCAGTAAAGTTTCTTTCGATGCCCCATGCATGCCAAACTTCTTCCAGATACATCATTAATAGATTATCCTCCTCTATTGATACCTACTAGGACTGTGTTCATATGGCAAGGTATATAACTACTAACTGCTGTGGCCAAATCAGGGGTACCTGACTGCTTGCTTCTGAGCACTGCTCCATTTATTGTATCTACACGTGTGGACAAAGGCACATGCTGCAGGCTGTGTTATTAATATTAGTGAAAACAAGCCTATTAACCTGCAGCAATAGGTATTGGCTGTTAGCATTTGAAATAGCAATGGTTCTTTTGTCTTCACTGTGTATGTAGCACTTCATACACAAACATTAACTTTCATGACAAAGCCTTCCTCATGGTAGCATTGAAAATCCATGGGCTGTACGTACACTTCAAAACAAACTAAGGACTTTTTTCCTTCAAATGCTCTCAGTTGTGAACTGTGTTCATAGTTTCTCAAAGTCCTGAGAGTCCCAGTAAGCACTGTTTAGTCCTAAATAACTTGGTTTGTGGCTTTAAGTAAAAAATGAGGAAGAAACATGGAAAAATCACTGTCTTCAATGGTTAATGGTCCTCTCAGAAAGAGTATGAACATGTTTTTGTTTGTTTTTTTAAACTGAACGCCCTCAATGCACATTTTACACTAGTCAGTGAGTACACTGCACTTGTGGCACCTTCCATACTGGCTCAGAGCTCCTTTTTTTCAGGGAGAAAATGTACCCGACTGTCCTGTATGAGAATGGTTCTTTATGCTCTAACCTGCACTTTTTTTATAAAGATTGCTTTTTGTGTTTTGTTTTGTTTTTTTCTTGAAAAGTTTAGACTTATTCAGGGTATCAATGGTCAGTTCTGACTTCTAATAGCTTAGAAGCCTGAGCTGTGCCTCTAAAATGTGTGTACTCAGTTTTAAATGTAACTGACTTACCCACTTCTTACAAGAGGAGAACCTGGCATCCTTGACTTCTATCCGAGTCACTTGGGATGCACCTGCCTTGTACTTGTCCTGGTTCCCCTGTCTAGTTAGCAACAGGTAGACCCTGCATCTGTTGTTAAGACTACTTGATTTTTGTTTCTTCTTTTTGTTCTTTTTTCTAGGAAAGAAAGGCATACTGAGAGCTGTGTATGTAATTTTTGGAAAGGAGTTTTTCTTAAATTCTGATCAGCACCTCCAGCTTGCCTCTGCTTCACTCTTGTCTGCAGCCTCTGAGTAGGACCAGCAAGAAAAAACGGCTCCCAAATGCTGCTAAGCTTATGATGTGCCTTCAAAAATTTGGAACACGTAACCTTTGTAAAAGCTGATGAAGGATCCCTGCCTGCCCTCTTTCCTTCCCCTTGCCAGCTGTAATTTGCCCCTCCAGCTTTTTTTCTGCAGCTGTGTGTTGGTGTGTTTCCCTCTGGAGCCTTGGGTAACTATCTGTCAGCTTTCTCCCTCCTCCCCCCCAAAAAAGGCACTGACAGGATGAAAAAAGCTGTTCTTCCTACCTGTGGTACTGCTAACTTCTCTGTGCAGCATGCTAACTTACAGCAGGGTTGGACCCAGTCAGAGAGGATTTGAATGTCCACTGACCTGAAGGCTTCCTGTGCCCTGTCCCTGTGCACCCTCACAGCTCAGGCACTTGCTAGTTTGAGAAGCCCAAGAAATGCTTGTCAGCGTTGTGCCTTGCCAGCCGTGTGCTAGGATTTGTTTCATGAACTGTGGGGAGGGACAGGCAAAAGCTCTGTTCCTGCAAAACTGGCTAAAGAAAGTTTGTTATCCCGGAGTGCTCAGTGTATTGTATTTACCAGCAGTGTTTTCGGTTTGGGGATTTTTTTGGTGGTTGTTGCCATATTTTTATGGCTGTTGTATGAGTGAGCTACCCTGCCACTTGTTCAAGGCTGATGGAAGGCATCGCTTCCAAACCCAGCAGAAGTGATGCTTTGGGCAATTAAAAACATTTCTTACAACCATACAGCCAAACCTTAGTCTTTGTGTCTGCGAGGCTACCTTACTACATCGTTCCCATATATATATGTATTTTTCCCATATATATACACACATATACGTACACATATATATATATATACACACATACCAGTTTGAAGTGTTTCTAAGAGGAAATACAAATGATAAAACTCTTCATTTTTAGAAGTGTTTATTGATACCATTAGCTCACAGTTGTAATGTACTACTGGAAGTCAGGTGTGCCTAATGGGACCCCACCTTGGGGCTCAGTCTTGGCCTCTTTTTCTTTCTTCCCCTCTCTCACACGGGGGATGCTGTGAGGATAATGCAGTGCCTAACTGCAAACTGTCAGTCTGCATTCAAAGTGAGACAAACGCCTTGAAGCACCCAGTGGGAAATGTGCTTTGTGGTATAAAGATCAGCTTCAAAAACAAGGCCAACGCCCATGGCGTTCCTTCTCTGGGAGGTGGTGTACACCGGTGTCCGGAGGGTGTTCTAAAGAGGAAAAGAGGCACTGAGTGGTGCTCCAAGCACTGCGTGAAAGTGGAAGCCAGAGGGGTCTCTCTAAGACATGGTTGTCTTCAGAAATTCGCTCTGAGGACTGAGGAGAAACTTTATGCTGCACGTTTTACACGCTGAAGGCAATAGTGGCGCTGCTTGTGCTAAGAGCAAAAGGACTAGCAGCTACTGAGATTTAAAATAGGAGGAACTTGATAAGCAAATCTATCCCTGTCCCCAGTGGAAAGGTACCTGGAGTTTGAGCCTGTGTGCTTCAGTGGGTATTATCTTCAGGATGGGTAACTCCACCACCAGCACCCCAGGCTTGCTTTTTGTTAGGCAGCTGTTCTCCGTGTCCCAGTCTGCCCCTTCCAGAAACAGGCCAGAAACAAAGCAGCCTGCAAAGGCAGAAATGTAACATCTTGTGTAAATCAAGCTGCTACGGCAGTGTAAGGCAACTGTTCCTGCAGCAGCTGTCCTGTCCTCAGCACCTACACAGTAAGGACAGAACTCACAAACTGCACCTGCAGGGAGGCATGTCACTGACCTGTGGTGTTTGTTCTTAGCTGCAAGCTCTGCCTTTAAGACAAATTTCCAATTGAAATTGGCTTAGCTGCATTATGTATGATAAACACCATTAGGACTAAATACTGATTTTCTTGCAGCTTTCTTTCCTACAGTGGATGCTGTTCTTCCAGTCATTTGCTTGTGTAACAGCCCAGTTCTGAGCAAGCTTTGTCACTCTGATGGTGACATCATGCCAACAAAAGGTGGAGGTTTGAATGTTAGCAAATACAGAAAAGAAAGTGATTTGTTATTAACTGAAAGCTGTGTTTGGAAATGGAGGGGGAAAGCATCTCTGTTTTCATCAGTCAGGTCTAACAGTCAGAGATGCTAATCTGGCCCTATATCCTGTGTGTGTTGTATTTAGTCATTAGAACATTGCGAGCCATCAAAACTTCAAGGATATCTTTACATAGTAAGTAACACATAGCTGTATGTTTACATACATAGCTTTTTGTTTACACACATTATTTGCACTGCAGATGTATCTTTAAAAATTTGCTAGGATGAAGTAGTATCTTCCTTATTAAGAAAATGCATATGGAGAAAAGAGCAAAGTAAGTTGAAGAAATACTTGAACGTGTGTGTGAAAAAGCTGGAGAAAGAATGAAGCATTCAGTTTACAGCAGCTCAGCAGCAAAGCAGGAACCTGAACGTGGCCCATTCCCAGCTCATAACCACGTGGAATGTTAAAGAGCATGACTGCATGCGTTGTCTGCAGAGGTATAATCAAATTAATTCCACTCAGCAGGCCAAGCAGTTTCTCTTTCTCCCCTCCGGCCTCAATTAACTTTTTTTTTTCCCCTCAAATAATCATAAAGTCACCTACCTTGTGTAGGCCCTTCAGTGATGTCTTCTGCAGTCCTGTATTTGGTCACCTCGGTGTACAGGGTGGAGTGATCCAGGGGCCACCTGTTTTTCCTGCAGGTGGCTTGAACAAGAGCTGTCAGGTAAGATTCTGGAACGTGCAGGCCTGAGAGCCACATCACTTTTGGTTCACAGTCATTAACCTGTAATCAGGAACAGAAGACAGCCTGCAGTGCTTGCTCTGTTCTCCCACCAAACCTCCTCCTCAGCTCAGAGACCAATCTTAAAGGTTAGCCAGTGGCTTCATTCTCATTCTAGGTGGTGACTGGTTGGCATAAGTTCAAATTAAGTAAAGCAGTGAAACTTCAATGACTTCCATACCCCATCACTAATTTGCACTGCCTATAAAACAGACACAGAAAGAGCTTTCTAGGGTCCCCCATTTACTTACCCAGGTGCTGTACTGGTTGTACCTATCTGTGAAGAAAATAATCCAATTTCCAAGGGTTTTTAGCGTGTCGGGGGCCAGCCGCCTCCAGATGCCAGGAATCTGTCCATTGAAGAGTGCCCGAGCCACATCGTCCAGTTCACTGCTCATTCCAACTTCCCCAGCCAAGGCCTGGAACAACAGTGACAGTCCTGAGTGCCAGAGCTGAGGCAATTAAAGCCTGAGCTGATTGCAGCTGCTTGCTGTGAGCAGCAGTAGCAGTGCTCCTACGTACGCGCTGCAGTTCAGCCAATGACTTTGCCATGCAAATGATGAGTTTATTAAAACGTTCCAGTTCCTGCAACAGCACCACAGTTGTTGGGGGCAGCTCCAGTCCAAAATGTTTTCGTATCTTGCTGAGATCAAATACTTCTGGTATTTTGTTTTCTATATCCTTAGCAACATGAGCAATATATTCATCTCGACTGACTCCTGTACCAGATTCACCTGAAACAAAAACAGCTTAGTGAGACTAATCTGAACAAGTATCACCTCTATTATTAATTTTTAACGAGAGAACTTTGAAGGCTGACTCTGCCTGGCGCCCACTTCTTTACCCACCCTGTGCAGCACTGACCTTTGCACCAGCAGACTCCCTGCATGCCCAGCACTTCCTCTGAGCACGTGCTGAACTACTCCCTGCTGCCAAGGCTCAGCAGCTCAGTTGCTTTCCTTCCCTCTCAGTCCCTGTTCTTTGCTGCCTCTGCTCTGTGAGGCCATTACATGTGCTGGCAGGCAGAGCCCAGCCGTGCTGCAGCAGGAGCTCCTCAGTGCCAGCCTGTGGGAATCCAAAGGACCCAGACTGCTGTGGGGCTGCAGCATACTTGGTACCACAATCCCTGCAGTGCAGTTCATCACCTCATTAGTTCCTATTTGCAGTCCAAAGTGGTGGTGGATGTACCTGTTTGAGGCTGCAGTTCAAGAAGATGAGACCATATACCACGAACTGCCTGTGTGTAATACCCGATCTCAGCATTGGCATGAAGACCAAATACTTCTGGAGTGTTGGCGAGGGGCAGACATTCTATTGCCACTGCAACACAAAACACACCTCCTAGTGATGCATACATTATGCTACAGCCACCAGAGCACACATAGAGCAAGTAGAGTTATTTTATTTATTGCTAATTTACCTAAAAGAAAGCATTGCTTACCAACAAAGTCATCTTTTACCGTCCCTTGTGGAATCCTATAATCAACCTCATCATTTTTATAGAAATGAAATGTTTGGAATGTGTCAAATATGAAATCACCAAGGTACTCATCCATATAGACAGTCAGAATGCGACGATCAAAGCTGTCAATGGCACGGCCGCCATACATGACCTAGACATAATTACACTAATTACATACCACTGGCTTTTGAGGCAGCAAACAGAGTTTAACAGAAAAAAGAACAAACACTGAAAGGTCCAAAGCATTTTGCTATTGCAGTGGCTGCATAGTGTGAGTATAAGGCTGTCTCCCCTAAAGGCTTCCTCTAGCTCCTTCTCGAGGGAAGCTGTTCTGGGCAACTCCTGATAGCCAGTCCTGGTGATGTATTTACATACACGCAACAGTAACTTCCTCAGTAGCAGCTCAGGATCAGCTGTGATTCAATGCTGCCAAATAATAACAACTTCCTGTAAGATTTTGTGTGGCAGCAGCTACTTTGAACCGGCCAGCTGCTACACAGCACACAGCAAGGACAGCATGCTTTGGAAATACCTGTTTGTACAGCTCTCACATCAGTCACGGTCCACTGCACTAACAGTACTGTAAAGTTGTGCTGTTCAGTGCCTTTCCTCAGAGGATCCCAAAGGCTCTCTCAGAATTAAGCATCATCACTCCCCTCTTGTACAGTTAAACACAGTGGCCCCTGTTTATTGAGGCAGTGATAAGTGACTTGCTCAGGAGTTTCAGGACTGCCCAGAAGAGATTCTGAACCACCTCTATGTTATGACACGGCTCAGGGATTATTTAGTGACAGTGTAGGTGCTCACCTCACCAATAAGATACTTGAGGCTGCTCCAGGGGATTTTATCATCATTTTGCTGGAAAGCTTTTGTCAAGTACGTGTGAAGAATTTCCATGCAGACCTAATAAAGATGGTAAAACAAGACAAGATTCAAAAATCAGCTACACACATCCATGATTTTACTTAACACAGTTCTTGTTTGAAAACTAACAATAGTTTCTTCCTCAACAAAGTGAAATAGAAAGCATACATCTTGTTAAGGAAAGAAACCCATACAGGAGGGCTATTAAATAAATGTATTTATGTAAACAACATATATAAATACAAACATAAATGACTGAGAATCTCATTAAGTTCTGTGGTCTTAGTATGATCACAATTGACATTATAGAAGATTGTGAATCTACATGAGACCACAGCAACAACAAAAAAGAGTTAATATAAATTATACTGAAAGAAAGGATTGAAGCTGAATAGATTATGTGTTTTCAAAAGTAATTTGAGCAACTCAAGAACATGAGAGCCGTTGTCATTATTTTCTTACCTGGAAATCAGATTCATTAAAATCATACGGTACGTTCCAGCCAACCTTCCCAAACTTCCTCCTCTCCTG